TCGCAGATCCAGGACAGACATATCAACCTAGGAACCTATGCGACTATATTCCAAGCGAAAATTTACGCTACTGAATTGCGAGAATATTTTTATTGACACAAGTCTCTGACAGTAAAGCGGTTTGGAAGCTCTTGGCTCCTACCGAGCAACGTCAAAATTGGAAGCAAATTGCCAAAAACGACTCTCCTCAAGAAGAAGACTTAACATATTGTCTCTGATCTGGATTCTTGGCCATACTGGCCTGGAAGGCAATGAGGCTGCTGACTCCCTTGCAAAGGAGGTTGCTGCAAGCAGCTTCATAGAAGCAAAACCTGCCATTGGCATCGCTTTAGGCTTTGCCAAACATAGGTTGAACACCTGGATGGCAAGAAGACGTCTGGCAGAATCTTCCAGGAGTGGCTCACTCCAAGGCGTTTATTTACTCCTCGAAGCTTGATACAAAACAGTTGTTAGACTACACTAGCGATGAACTACGATGTATAACAGTGTGTGTCGCATCTGTTTGGAAAATGATGAAACAGCAAAGCACATACTTTGTTGCTGCCCGCTGTGGTGGGGACCGAATCAGGTTTTTAGAGTTCGGCCATCTGACCTGAAAGACTATTCACCATACAAACTAATCGGCTTCGTTAAGAAGCTGAGTTTATTTGGTCGAGTGTGAATAGGTGTGAGCCACAATAAACCCTTGCGGGTTGCAGTGGAGGGTCGAATATACCAACTTACTTTGGACCTAACCTAACCTAACCTAGATGGTGTTGATTGTTGAATGACATATATGTGAGATATCGCAAATTTATTATAGATTCACAGTGACATAATATACTATACAACTCTTCATATGTTGAAGAAGCCTTTCCTGGTTGTTTTCGTAGGAATCGTTTAATTATTTTAATAAGCCGCTCCCTCTATTTTTCCCCACCAGGGTGTTCCACGCGGGGGTTAGATTTCCAATTGAGATCTAATATCAAAGTCAAATATTCTTCATCAGTTACAGTGTTCTCCCTCCCTCGAGGATGAAATTTGGGATCTTTTGCGATCTCAGCCGGTTATTCGACTGAGTCAATCACACATTATTATGTAAGCTAACAGCAATTGGTCCAGGTCAGTCCTTGAAGTTGATTGAATAATATTTATCAGAATGTTTCAAATATTATGAAAAAGCGGTAAATATCACTGAATCTTAATATATCTCTATCACTATGGGTGTCCCACAAGGATCTGTTTTGAGGTCCGTTTAAGTTTTTCTATATATATACATATTTTTTTTTAAATTTTTTTTGATTGATGCAACTAATTTTACTTCATTTTGAGTATTTCAATATT